AGGTTAAACATAATATTAAAGAACATAAAAGGCCCCCTTGGTTCCTCTAAACCAACTAGCCATTAATTTAAACTAAGCACATTGTTAAGGCTTTTGGAATGTTTAAAGGAGAAACTTCATTCTGTTTTGAAATTATTAGATGTAACATAGGTAACAATAGATAACATAGTTTCAGCATAGACAATTTTTAATGCATCATGTTTTCTTAAATAGGAAATATAAATATCTAAATTAGAAGCAGTTAATAGTACTATTAGAATGTTACTCGTATGTTTACTGGACTTGGCATTGACAATGTAGTATCAATATTTTCTTTAATGAATGTCCTATATGTGTTTTCAAACAGGATACATGGCAGAAGGGTTTTTATCTATCCAGCATGCAGTTGTCTTGGCAGTAATAGAATTTATTACAAATGGAAATGTTGCTGATAACTTACAGTTACAGATGCAAAGATATCCATACCCACCTTATGATAATGACCTATTCCTTCTAGCTCTTCAGATTTTCTTCCCATTGATTATGATTTTTAGTTTCATCTATCCAGCATTGAACATTGTGAAAAACATTGTGATTGAAAAAGAGAAACGGTTAAAGGTAATGAGAATATTTAAATGCATTTATGTTACTACCTATTAAATTTTGATTTGAATGTATTGAGAATGAAAAATAATTTGTTTGTTTTGTAAGCAAAACTCTCAATAAGCATTATTTCATACAAAATATTTTAAATATAGACATCATTTATTGATAATGGCTATTTTGTATTTGTTTTTTAATATCAAAAACATAAATGTATATGACATTTCCATTGTCACGTGACAAGGAATTTTTGTCATAAATGTTCCGATAATCCTATTATAGCTTAGGTTAATTTTAGTTTATTTTAAACAGTTAATATATATATACTTACAAACTGGTACACATTAGTGTAAACTAGTCCTTTTTTTTTCAAGCGAGCATGAGTTAAACAGCATGTGTGTTTAGTTTACTGTTTTTCTGGACATATACACACTAATGTAAACCAGTCCTTTTTTTTCAAGTGAGCATGAGTTAAACAGCATGAGTGTTTAGTTTACTGTTCTCTTTGGACATATACACACTAGTGTAAACCAGTCCTTTTTTTCAAGTAAGCATGAGTTAAACAACATGAGTGTTTAGTTTACTGTTCTTTTTGGACATATACACACTAGTGTCAACCAATCCTTTTTTTCAAGTGAGCATGAGTTAAACAGCATGAGTGTTTAGTTTACTGTTCTTTTTGGACATATACACACTAGTGTAAACCAGTTTTTTTTTTCAAGCGAGCATGAGTTAAACAGCATCAGTGTTTAGCTTACTGTTCTTTCTCATGTGGTTAACTACTTTGATAGTTACATCTTTGACAGTATATGGAGTGTTGTATGAGATTGGCAGGTTTGTTTATTATTACATTTGGAATTGATTTGTTCATCTATATTTGAATACAGATTGTATTCTCTAATACCAGTCATTAGATTTAAAACATTAATAACTAAAGGGTTTTGAGGGAGGTTACAGGTTGGATATGTGAGCCACTTACTACTATTTTTTGTCAGTTATTGAATAGTGGGCAGAGGATTGGAAGTTGGCTAATGTAACTCCTCTTTTCAAGGGAAGTAATAAAAATTGTTCCAGTAATTATAGACCCATTAGTCTTACATTAGTTGTGGGAAAAGTTTTGGAAAATCTGTTAAAAGATACTTCGTAAAGTCATTTAACAAAGTTTAGAATTTTATTGGATAGTCAACATGGTTTCGCTAAGGTAAATCTCAAAATGTTGTCTCTTGAAAAAAGAAGAGTCAGGGGGATCTGAGTGAGGTGTTTAAGATTGTAAAGGGAATTGATAGTGTTGATGCATCATTTTTTTTCATATGGGAATTGATAGTGTTGATGTATCACTTTTTTTTTTCTTATTTAACAGTGAGAACAGTAGGACTAGGGAACACAAATATAAATTTTGGCAAGGTAGGATTCATGATCAGTTAAGACAGTTTTATTTTTCTAATTGGGTGGTTGACCTTTGGAATGGGTTGCCGTCAGATGTTGTAGAGGCAGTAAATATAAGTGAGTTTAAGAAAAAGGTTTATAGGCATATGAATGATAAGGGCTGGCTTTAAGATTTTTTAATTATTTTAATTTGTTTTGGAGGATGGAACAGCCGAAATGGACCAATAGGTCCCATGTTGTCCCAAAACATTATGTTATGTTAAATATATATATAAACTTGTATGTTGTGTTTACCAGGATCAATAGATAGATATGTTATGGAAAACAGGCAAAGGTCACGAACAAATTTTTTCTTCTCTCACTGTCACAGGAATCAATGAAAATGATGGGGTTGAGAACGTGGCTACATTGGTCTGCATGGTATTTCAAATACTTGATATTTTTATTGATTAGTGTCACAATCATCACAATACTCGTGACTGTCAAAGTATCCCATGGAGTTTGTGTGTTTGACAAAAGCAATCCTTTCATCATCTTTCTCTTACTTTTTGTGTATATATTGACCACCATATGCTTCTGCTTCTTAATTAGCACTCTTTTCTCCAAAGGTGAGTTTTTAGACTAATCAACAAATAATGAGTGTTTCTTCGTGCAAAATATAGTTCTCTAAGTCTAAGTATGTTCCTTAATACAATGGCTTTTGTTTTGAAAGTCTGTTTTGGTACTTAACAGCATATATATATATCTCCATAGAGGAGAACTTTAAACACAATCCAAAATGATATATGCAGCATTTTACATAAGCTGTAATTAAACCTGTACTGTACAACTTGAGAAAAGTGTATTAATTATGTTGAATTTATATTTATTAGTAGCAATAATTTTGAGTGTTCAGCTGTTAAATATTCAATAAGAAATCCAAATTTGAAAAGGAAATAACATATTTCACTAAAACATTTTCCTAGTGAAGAAATTAAAAAATAAATTATTTCCAATTTAACTAACTGTTGGTTACTTCAGTGTTATGTTTTACACAAATAAATCCTGCAAATAATATCTTTACCAATTTGATGTTCAGGATCAGTTTTTGTGTTGTAAGTAATTTATATTCTGTTGTTTGTCTAATGTTTGTTGCATTAAGAGTATTGGTTAAAATATTTGTAATTTATGTGTGTGTGTAAAATAGTTATTTTTATTATTTTTAGTTCTTTATAATTTTCTTTATTATGAGCATTACTTTGAATTCTTAGTTTAGAATATGAATTTAGAACCAACTTAAATCTCTTAAAGTGGTTGAAGCTTGTGAGATGTTATTGAAAGTTTGGGCTAATAGAATGTTTCCTTACTTCTGTTTAACAGTTCAAAATTAGTGATAGTGGCAGATGATAGCCTTAGTAGTTCTGCTATAAGAAAGACAGCTAAGCAAATTTGGTGGAAATGGGAATTGAACCCAAGACTTTTGAATTACTTATCACCGAATCACCAGAATTGAACAAACTCTATATTATAATAATAAAAAACCAAAACTCGTAAGGCTAAAATAGAACAAAGCACAAATAGCCCATTATGTAGCTTATGTTTAAAAACAAAATAATAGCAATATTTTGATTACTCTAGAGTTTGAATAATCAATAATAATAATAATTGAAAATCCTAATTTTTCATTACTTGATTATTTTCATAACAGTTAATTCCAATATCTTATTTTACCTCCCTCACATAATAGCTTTTCTTGTTCAGTGCTGCCCTTTATATGCACATATTATTATAATTTTTTTATGCTCACCACTAGCCTTGAAACTCCCACATACCCCACATTTCAGTGTGGTTCAGCTGCATTTTTACATGCATATAAGCATACAGCAACCCTCCACAAATAGGAGCACGACACTTTCTCCTGTACAGCTGGGTCCCTTTTTACAGTAGGACCCAATCTTCACTTCTCGATTTGGCACAGTGTTGTTAAGACATGTTAAAATTTTTGCTTGTGCTTTCACTTTAATTTGAATTTAACATTATTTGTGCTGTTTATTAAACAACTTACTTAGTTATTTTATTTGCTTTATTTTATACAGTTATAAGCTTCTTAATTTTGAACTTCACTCCAGTTGAACATGATTTCTTATCACTACCACTACTTCTGTAATGACAGCATTCTAACCTGCTGTGTCTCGGGCTGCAGGCCCTACACTTTTGGCTGAGGAGGTCTTTGTTTTTCAATGGGAGTTAGTGGCCAGCTATATCTCCTGAGCCCAGAGCTGACATTCTTTTCTCAGGTGAATCTATGCAAGGTTAAGATGATTTGGATAGCCTTTTCTACCTCCTTCCTTTGCCATGCAATCCTGAATTCCACCTGTGGACACTTCCAGGACGGCCTCAGCCTTCCTAGATTTAGTGTCATAGGTATGTTACCTTTTATTTGTAACCCCTATTTCATATTATTGCTCTCCTTTCTCTACATTTGGCCCCTTCTTCAGAATACCTAGTTTTCCATCCTTCTCTAGGTATCAGGGTCCATGGTAACCAATTTCTGGTGCAATTGTATTCAGGAGGTGTCAGCATACCTCATCCTTCTTGGACTTCGAGTAACTGTGCTTTGCCAAATCTTCATGCTGATTTTCTATATTTAGACTCTCAGCAGTGTAAGTCATTTATACAGGAATAAGATCTGACCCTGATACTTCTGTGAGGTTTCCCACACCCATTTGACCCTTACCACACCCTGCAGTTACCTCTCCTCCAATCATCTATTTTTCACAATTATTAACCACTCCCCAGCAGGGATCTTGGAAGATACTTGTTCCCTTACATTCTCCATGTTGGCAGGTTTATTCTCCTTGGCTTTTTCTCTTAAGCCATGGCTCCTTTGGTATTGTTATCTCTTGAGTATGGATGCATCATTAGCTAACAGGCACCTAGCCATGTCCTACTTACATGACCTATGGATGGCTCCATTTTTAAAGAGGCTAATTTTGTAGATCTTACCAAATCATTGAATCCCTCCATTTCCTCCTGGGTTTCTGCCTGTTGCTGAATCCCAAGCTGCCAACAGTACAGGTGACTATCTCATGCATTTTGACAAGGTGGAAGTTTCTTTAACCAGATTGTACACTTATGGTAAAATTTCAGCTTGGATCCTTAAGTGCTTCAGGTGTTGCCTATCCCAACAAGTAGCTTATTTGGTTGCTTCTACAAGAAGTAACATGTGGAGGATGGCTCATCAAGTTGGAGAAGTTCTTCCTTATCTTGATAAAATATGTCATCCACTGGGAGTGTTTTTCAACTTCTTTCTCAGTTCGGCCCAGCCTTCTCCCCTTCACTTAAGGTTGATAGAGCACATGGCTCTCAAAGCCCAGTCCTCTCATACTCAGTCTTCAAGCCAGGTTCTTTCTCTTTTAGGGACTTGGGCTTCCAAGGAAACACTTATACCTTTGGGTCGTGATCACATGCTTACCCTTCATTGAGTATTGCAAGACCAATGGAACCTTGCTTGGGGTCTCCTGGACTCTATTATCTTTTTCCCTCACATACTTTAGGTCAATTTAACATGGTGGCTTCACAGAGACACCACCATAGGGAGGTCCTCTTCCTCCTCTGTGGCTTTAGTTGCACCTTTTTACAGATGTTTCTCTAACTGGATGTGGAGTGAGTATAGCTTCTTAGGACATCTCTGGTTACTAGTTTTCAGTTGAGATAGCAAATGAATGTCAACATCTTAGAGCTTCTTGCCATCTGTCAGGCTTTGGATAATTTCCTGCCTTAAGTACAAAGCAAAATGGTTATGGTCCATTCTGAAAATTTGACTGTTGTCTTTTATATCAATCAACAAAATGGCACCCATTAATGTTCGATTTGTTTTTGAACATTAAAACTCTTGTATTGGGCCTGATCATATCACACATGCTTATTGGCATGTTATATTCCGGGTGCTTTGAATCTTATCATGGATTGATTATCTCGTCCAGTCAAGATCCTTTCCACGTAATGCTCCCCTCCTTTTTTTTGGTCTCCAGTACCACATCCTTTGGGTTTGGTGGTGGATGCTTTCACTCAGGATTGCATCTACCTTTACCGGTAGGCCTGTCCTTCTGTCCATCTCCTTTCCCAGAGGTTATTCATTATCCAGTCCTGTCTGCGTCATGTGTTTCCGATTGTACCTTTCTGGCCAGCTGAACCTCGGTTTCCAGTCCTTGCCTTCCTTTAGTCAGCACCTCTGTTACTACTTCCTTTTTCAATCTCTCCTCCATTAACCCCAGTTGCCAGTGTATCATCCCACAATCACCATACCCATTCCATACGTACTTCCTCCCTCATGGTATATCAGACAAAATGGTGTGTTTTGACCATTTGTCTCTGTGCCATTGTTACCTTCCCATCTGAATATTCTTTATGTCTCTGAATTTTTTACCTGGCTGTTTCACATTGGTTCTTCCATCTTCCATTAATGGATATTGGGCCATTTACCTTTTGTTATGTTCCTTTTGAATCCTTTGCCCTCCTTGTCCTACAATCCTTCTAAATTGGAACCTTAATGTTTTTCTCTATGCCCTTACCCACACCTCATTTTGAACCCTTGGCCACTTGTTCCCTATACCATTTATCCCTCAAGACCTATTTCTTACTCTTTTTTTTTTTTTACACATGGTCTTCGCAGGTCAGATTTTTTTGCCCTTGGTGTATCTTGTGTCCTTTATCAACACCTATGTTCTTCTGTATATGGATCAGAGTTTCTTACCCAAGATGTCAATGGCTCAGGAAGGCAATGTTTCCTTTATACCAATCTCCTTACTTTCCATTTCTCATTTGTATTCCCGTTCAGATCTGGATAGACTTCTATGACCTGTGTGAGTTCTCGGATGTTATATTACCCGCATTTCTTCTTTCCATGGTTCCCATTCCCATTTATTCATCCACTGGAATCCTTCATCTCAAAGAGATATTTTCACTCATCACCATCACTGGTTGGATTTGCCACCTTGTCAGGCTGGTGTATTCATCCTTATTCCTGACTCCCAATGTCTTTACCAGGTGTCATCATGTCAAATTAGACATCTTACCTTTTCCCTGGCTGCTCATCTACATTGTCCCTTGTAAGAAACAATATAGGCTGGCATGTGGACCACACCCAACATGTTCATCTCCCATTACCTTCATCTTGTGGCCATTTCTTCCTCATCCAGATATTGCATTCTGCCTGTAGCCATACTACATAGATTCAAATGTGAGTTGGTAACTTTATTTTTTATTTTTTTTACCTCACAGGGTCACACTCCTCTTTGATATTGGTTCTCACTTGTTGGCAAGTGGTGTCTGTCCAGTTATACTTATCAGCTGGAGAATCCTCATCATACCATCTCCTGCAGGATGGTTATCAGGAGATATGATATTACAAGGAGCTGGACCAGCCACTAAATCTGCACTATACAGCCTTTCACAAAATCAAAAAAAATACTTACCAATTGGGGAACCCCCTGTATTCCACCTCCTGCAAGTTGAGACCCAGGAGTTCTGGTATGGCAAGGAGTTGGAACAGTTAAGATTTTATGTTCTATCATGGGAATGGATTTGGACCAGCCAACAATACTGTAACAATAAGGCTTATAACGCACACTGTCGAGATAGGGTGTACCACAAGACTGCTAGTGGGTTTACCTTGTGGCTATCATGGGAATGGAGTTGGACCAGCCAACAATACTGTAACAATAAGGTTTGTAATGGAGTTGAACCAGCCAACAATACTGTAACAATAAGGCTTATAACGCACACTGTCGAGATGGGGTGTACCACAAGACTGCTAGTAGGTTCACCTTGTGGTATAATGTATCATAAATATGTTTGTTCTAGATTGTACGGACTCATGGACTATCATGAGTAAAGCAGAAAAGGATTGTTGCCCATCCCTTTGCTCCTTCAATTGAATAAATCAGTAGTGGACTGCTTTTCAAAATGGGGTTTCGTGGTCATCCATTGGATATTCTCCAGTGTAGCATTTCTCTTGGCTCTTCACCACACTTTTTCCCCTTTCTACAGGTGGAGTATTGGAGTCCTTACCAGGTTCTAGCTGCTGGGGTGGTCAACCATAGAGGCTTCCACCTTAATGTGCTCAATCTAATTCAGTTGAGAGTAGGGTGGCGGTATTCTGTCAGTGTAGATGCTGTAGATTCTACTCCTAATTCATAAACTAGAGTTGATCCTCCAAAATGCAGTTCACTCCTCAGACTGGGAGTCTTCATTCTACCAGTAGTGGACTGCTTTTCAAAATGGGGTTTCGTGGTCATCCATTGGATATTCTCCAGTGTAGCATTTCTCTTGGCTCTCCACCACTCTTTTTCCCCTTTCTACAAGTGGAGTATGGGAGTCCTTACCACTTACCAGGTTCTAGCTGCTGGGGTGGTCAACCATAGAGGCTTCCACCTGAATGTGCTCAATCTAATTCAGTTGCGAGTAGGGTGGCGGTATTCTGTCAGTGTAGATGCTGTAGATTCTCCTCCTAATTCATAAACTAGAGTTGATCCTCCAAAATGCAGTTCACTCCTCTGACTGGGAGTCTTCATTCTACCACCGCCTGGACTTCAGTTTCCATGTGGTCTGGTGTTGGATTAGAGCTGGAACTTTATTTCACACAGGTGTTGATAGGGAGCCCTCGTCCTATCATGGACAGAATAATTACATTTACTATTCAGCTGCAGAACCCCCCTGCGTACCTTCTCTGGCAGGCTGAGACCGGTGAGATATGGTGTGGCAACGACCAGATATAGTCCGTTTGGATTTGAGTGAACCACCACTTTGGCACTTCCCTACCAATATACATATATTCCAGTTTTCTTGTTAACTGGTGTTGGTTGTGAATCTGCACAAATGTGCTTTGCAGCTGAACCACATTGAAACATGGGGTAGATGGGTGTTAAATCTATGTGTAGTTAAAACCAGTTAATATTTCAAATCACTGGTCTGGGTTGAATGCATATGTGGCTGTTTTGAAGTAAAACAAGTTGTGCATGTAACTTTAAATGTTTTAAGCTCCAAATGTAAATAACAAATCCATTCTGAGCCCGGCGTCGCCTAGTGGTTAATGTCCTGAACTATGAATTGTAGGTTTTGTGGTTCACATCTTGTTAACTTAAAATTGTGCTCCACACACTATATAGTGAAAACCAAATTCATCATTTGAATAGAGAAGCCCACAAGCTGGTGGTGGGTGCTGTTGACTCTTCTAGTTAATCAGTTTAAAATGAGGTACAACTAGTGCCAATAACCTTATTATTACTTTACATGAATATCTGAAAAAAATAAATCCATTTAAGTACAATATCTGACAAACAAAGGATTTTTTCTTCTAGTGTAGCAGAGTTTGAAATAATGACTATTTTTTCTCTTTGTCTGGGAAAACATTAGGATTTGTTGTTTAATTATGAGAATTAGCTGGTAAAACAAAAATTGTTTAGTAATGTTTTTCTAATGTACAACTGATTAGACACTAGAAATAGAAACTGACATATAATTTCAAACTTATAAAAAAAAACCCATCAGTAATGAAATAGTAATTGTAACAATTTTTTGTATGTTAGGCACAGAGGTAACTTGTAACTACATGTAATTTAGTGTATGAATATAGCTCTATGGTTTTGCTGTATAGAATTTGTAATATACAACATGGACCATAGTGAATCCCAAAGGATAACTAGTTAGTTATGACAAATATACTGTTTTGTTTAAATATCTTAGGCATAGAGGTAACTTGTAACTACATGTAATTTAGTGTATAAATATAGCTCTACAGTTTTGCTGTATAGAATTTATAATATACAGCATAGACCATAGTGAATCCCAAAGGATAACTAGTTAATTATGACAAATATACTGTTTGTTTAGATATCTTAGGCTTAGATTATAGAAACATTAAGATAAAAGGATGAACTTTGGACTGTAACTCATAATAATAATAATAATTAGACCTGAAGAAGCCTTCAGTGAGAGCTTGTCAATCAAAAATAAATATTTCTATGTTGAGTTGCAGTCCACAGTTGTTTCTTTGTGTTTTATGACATTTAACATACTGATGGCACTAATTTTACTGAATGTATGGTGTTATGTGTAGTATTTTTTTCACAAGATTAAACATTTTTGCATCATTTGAAAAGAAAGCATTTTGTGATTTTTAACTTCACATTTCACTCAACTATACTGTTGTGTGATTACCTATATTACATTAATTATATTTTCACTTTTGAAATTTAAGCTGTGAATATTCATATGCCTTATTATTATTAATCAAAAATGTCTAACCCATATTTAGCTTAGTTTTAACGAATGTTTGAACTACAAATGATTTCATGAAAAATTTTGATTGTCGTTAACTTACAGCACAGTTTAACTAGTCTCTTTGTGATAAATATCATCTACCTTTTTAACACTTATCAAACTTACAGTACAGTTTAACTAGTGTCTTTGTGATAAATATCTACCTTTTTAACACTTATCAAACTTATGGTACAGTTTAACTAGTCTCTTTGTTATAAATATCATCTACCTTTTTAACACTTATCAAACTTACAGTACAGTTTAACTAGTCTCTTTGTGATAAATATCTACCTTTTTAACACTTATCAAACTTACAGTACAGTTTAACTAGTCTCTTTGTGATAAATATCTACCTTTTTAACACTTATCAAACTTACAGTACAGTTTAACTAGTGTCTTTGTGATAAGTATCATCTACCTTTTAACACTTATCAAACTTACAGTACAGTTTAACTAATAGTGAAAATATTGAGTCTGTTTTGTTACTAATCTGAGTGCGAAGTGATTTTCATGTTTTCATTAAAAAACTATTCTTCATCCCAAAAATCCATTATATTATTTTTTTTATCTATAAAACCTCCTAAATACATTTCAAACTTATGTTTTCAGTAACATTTTATATTTTATCTGTTATTTTCTCTACCCTAACTATATGGGGTCTGTCAATTTGATCAACCTTATAACCACCATAAAAAAATTAGGAAATGAATATATATACTATGCTTTTGTCGTTCTAAAATGAGTACATATTATAACACAAAAACATAAATGTTTAGTCTAAATAGCTTAAATCTCATAACATTATACATTTATATATATTTATTATTTCTTATTATATTGACTTCTCAGTCATGCCTGGTTAACAATACAGGAGTTGCAATGATGTGGCACATGTGCACTCATGTTACCGTATCCAATAACATAAAACTGGCCTTTACAAAGTGACCTGTCTTTGCTGTGTTTTAGTGG